ATTTATGATAAGAAATCCGCCTGAATTTTGCTTCTGAAATCTCACTCGTTCTCACATCTATTCAAACGCACTCTTCAGCATCTGAATGGACATCTCGGCTATTATGGAGAAATTGAATACGTAAAATTATATTGTGACATTAATTACTATATAATACATTAATATTTATTGTCATAATATTAATCATGGCCAAAAATTTCATGACAACGTCTCCGCTTGTTTTTCCTTTGAAGGCGTGTTAATGCGTGTGACGTGTGATGGAAGCAAATATTTCGAGTTATTGCGAACCGACGTACAATCGCATTTGTTTGTTGCACATATCGTCGTATAATGTTATGACGTTATCCAAATACAAATAATGCTGTGGAGAGCAATGCAGTTTTATAAAAATCAGTACTGCTCCTGCAAGACTTTCTATCAAGGATCTTTTTCAAATCCATCGTGGCGGGTGCAATTGCAGAAAGCTCAATATGTAATAAGTGATATTGGTTTTGTAAACAGAACTTCTTGTTACAAAATTGTTGATTTCTTTTCTCGTTCTGTACAATGTTGAGTTTGAACTATATGCAAGGGTATTCTATAATCCATTTTACACATATTAGTTTCTTTTTACCATTGACAAAACTGTGTGACGAAATAAATGATTTTTCACATACACATTTATTTATTTCCTATTATACCCTGTAGATACTACCGAAAGTCAACTTCGGATTGTGTAGTGAGTATTCTTGAATTTTTCAGGTAAAGTGAAACTAGATTATGTCGTAATAATTTTATAAAATTGTATGCGCGTCGTTTGAGAATGCATCTTCTTCAGTTCTTTGCGTATGTCCTATTATGAAAGATTATGGGAACGTGAAAATATAATTTCATGTATTTTTGTCTGAACAATTAAAAACTGCACGTAGGTTAAGTATTTTCTGTAAATACGTCACACCTTTTCTGTATCTTCCACACGCTGCGAGATTTCGCAAATTTTATTAACAGTTTTGTAACAGATTTTTAACAGACTGTCCTCTGGTTTTTGCTGTGTTGATAGATATTCAGATGTGTGTTAATTTCTATTGTGTGTTAGTTTCTATTGCGCAGCTGAAAGACGATTCGAAAGGCGCTTTGTCCGGAGACAAATGATCATCGCGCTTCAGCTGCGCGGTTTGCAATATAAATATTCGCGACACCAAACTTCGCAAGTTCTTTCTGCGGCGTACATTCCTGCCACACGGAACGCGAGGGCTACATATAAAGTGAGAAAGTTCCTTTATTCAATAAACTAAGAATCGATTCGCTCTTTTGCGCACTTTGGCGTCGATCGCCGTTCAAAATTCTTTTCTAAAATTCTGCTTTTAATTGCATCTCATCGAACGCGCATTCTTTAGCGTCTACAGAGAATTGTACGTTGCACGTGACTTTACGCGAGAACTGAAGCCGCGAAGGTAGATCGATCTGGTGGAAGCAACCCCTGAAAGAGACATCAGAATTACGCAGTAATCAGCGAATCACCATGCTAGTTTTACCCTTGATACCATTTTTCCTAGGTTAGTTGAGCACTCCGTTATTCGATTAATCCTCGGTACGGCCTCAATACGAAGAGTAGCTTTATGCACGGCTTTTTTCAGGCTATAAAATGCCGGATATATTCAACCCTATGCCCTCATACATATTCTACATGCGGGTAAACACGTTACTCATCAACAAATCAGAAATACCCGTTAAGGAGAGCAACGCCGGCCTGCAGTTCTATCTGAAGTGTCAGTCGTATAAATTGGAAAACCTAAAATGTCACATCCCGGAGAACATTACTAATTTACCGAAGCTGGACTCCATTCAGCAGGTGGAAAAAAACTTTTTCACTCTGTCGTCCCTTCAGTTTAGCGGGATACGTTTCCGAATGGAATTCGATGTTAAGGGAGTAAAGAGTTATCGCATCCTTGTGAAAAACGTGAAAAACAAGGAGACTCTGTTGAAAGTATACCAGTTCATCGGGGATCAACTGAGCGTCGGTGCTTACCTCAGTACAAGGGGCTTAGAATTCACCGCAATAGAGGAAACCATTATCGGCAAATGCCCGACACATTACGAAATCAATCGAATTAAGGCCCTCAGTCGTAGCGAAATCGAGCTGGTCTCCTTTCTTGCGAGCCATGGTTATGAGTTGAACAAGGACGAAGCGTTATTTATTAATAAAACAAGACGTGTGGACGAATGCTATCCGAACAACAATTATATCCTCGGAAAGATCTTATGGACCGACCTCATAACATCGAATGATACCGAGAAGCTGGTACGTATCGACGAATTCACTTAGGCCCTCGTGGTCATTGAAACGGAGAAATTTAGATTCGCACGACTCGACTACGTCAACAGCTGTTGACGTGTCGTTGGCCGTTGTATCGACTCCTTTGTTTCGTCTGTTCAATAGTTTAATCGTAGTCAAGTTACTGTTTAAGGATACGCGGTAGATGGGTCAATCGAGAGAGTTAAGGTCAAATTAACTTCTCGACATGCACCTAGTCCTGGGTATATATTCTTATTGTTTTGGCCTTCAAATACAAATATATTCAAACTTTCAGCATAGAATATATGTATATTTTGTCGTAATATATTATGTTGGAACATTCTATATTGAAAGTTTAAACACTGAGAGCCGGTTTTTCAGTGATAGTTTAAACTTGAATTCAAGTTTAACTTCTAACAATGCGATTGTTTTATTTAAACAGAGTTTTAGTTGAAATCTAAGTTTAAACTATTATTGGAAAACTGCCCCTTAAATACCGAAAATAATGATAATGTTCAGGATTAGTTACGTGACATTGATACTTTTACCTTGTGCGTGAATTAATCTCGATAACGATTGCCGGACGACTCGTCGCGACATTCAGCGCGTTAGACATTGTTATACAGAAGCACGTTAATCAATATAAATACATTAATTTGTTTGCATTAATTTGGTATAATTAATGCATTTTATCAAAGTAGCTCGTATGAAATGGGACAATATGAGATTATAAAAATAATCTCAAATATGTATACATTTTTGTTTGTTGCAGAAAGAATCGCAGACTGTAATGTCGTTTGGTCATAACGAATACTACAGCAAGACTGTAAATATGTTTTATCTCTATAATGAGCAAGATGAGATTGCCGGCTATGTTCAAGAAACAATTAATTTTGGATTAGAATTTATACAAGGCTGAAAAACATGACAGGAGTATCACGTTGATTTGTTAAATCAAACGCTAAGGAATACGCTCAGTGACCTCAATTTGGCAACGAGCAAAATTACACGGAGGACATATTTTAAATTCGTTTTCAAAACATTATTGACATGCGGTATTAAACTGCAAAAGATGTTATAATTATTATAACTATATAAACACGATATACATATCTTACTCTTTTATGTCCTTCGATGCTTTATTGCTGGTATAGATAACAATATACAGCCTTTATTACGTTTCTATCTTCTCTTTAATAAAATTTATAATGTTGCCGCTCGATAACTTCTCCGACTTGCTGAATTCTTCATTTTATGAGAAGAGAATCCCCAAATAATAAATCCCTTATTCTTATTTCCTCGTCACTTACTAAGTAAGACATTACTGTTTCGTTCGTACAGATACAATTAAGCGATTTATTATTAAATATTAGGATACTTCTTCGTCGATATTGTGTGGTGGTTTTTTGTGTATTGTTATATATGTCATACATTATCGTAGCTTCTGTATGTGTGTTTCTTTTGTGTCTGGTTCTTACGGTAAAGCAGCTTATAAACTATGATGGATATCTCTGTTCGACAGATTAAGGATAGTCTTCAAATAAAATAGGACATGTGAATGGTAACTTTTGCGATTAGACAAACAAGCTAATGAATTTATGATAAGAAATCCGCCTGAATTTTGCTTCTGAAATCTCACTCGTTCTCACATCTATTCAAACGCACTCTTCAGCATCTGAATGGACATCTCGGCTATTATGGAGAAATTGAATACCTAAAATTATATTGTGACATTAATTACTATATAATACATTAATATTTATTGTCAGAATATTAATCATCGCCAACGAAAAATTTCATGACAACGTCTCCGCCTGTTTTTCCTTTGAAGGCGTGTTAATGCGTGTGACGTGTGACTTAAGCAAATATTTCGAGTTATTGCGAACCGACGTACAATCGCATTTGTTTGTTGCAGATATCGTCATACAGTGTTATGACGTTATCCAAGTACAATTTCCAGTCCAAAACGCAGAATACTTTTAAGTTGTACGACCAGAATATGACTCGAATTGTTAATGCTGTGGAGAGCAATGCAGTTTTATAAAAATCAGTACTGCTCCCGCAAGACTTTCTATCAAGGGTCTTTTTCAAATCCATCGTGGCGGGGGCAATTGCAGAAAGCTCAATATGTAATAAGTGATATTGGTTCTGTAAACAGAACTTCTTGTTACAAAATTGTTCATTCCTTTTCTCGTTCTGTACAATGTAGAGTTCGAACTATTTGCAAGAGTATTCTATAATCCATTTTACACATATTAGTTTCTTTTTACCATTGACAAAACTGTGTGACAAAATAGATGATTTTTCACAAACACGTTTATTTATTTCCTATTATACCCTGTAGATACTATCGAAAGTCAACTTCGAATTGTATAGTGAGTATTCTTGAATTTTTCAGGTAAAATAACGAGATTATGTCGTAATAATTTTACAAAATTGCATCCGCGTCGTTTGGGAATGCATCTTCTTCAGTTCTTTGCGTATGTCCTACAGATTATGGCAACGCGAAAACATAATTTCACATACTTTTGTCTGGACAATTTGAAACTGCACGTAGGTTAAGTATTTTCTGTAAATACGTCACACCTTTTCTGTATCTTTCACACGCTGCGAGATTTCGCAAATTTCGAATGTTTAACAGTTTTGTAACAGATTTTTAACAGACTGTCTTCTGGTTTTTATTGTGTTGATAAATATTCAGATGTGTGTTAATTTCTATTGTGTGTTAGTTTCTATTGTACAGCTGAAAGACGATTCGAAAGACGCTTTGTCCGGAGACAAATGATCATCGCTCTTCAGCTGCGCGGTTCGCAATATAAATATTCGCGACACAAAGCTTCGCAAGTTCTTTCTGCGGCGCACATTCCTGTCACACGGTACACGAGGGCTATATATAAAGTGAGAAAGTTTCTTTATTCAATAAACCAAGAATCAATTCGCTCTTTTGCGCTCTTTTACGTCGATCGCCGTTCGAATTTCTGTCCTAAAATTCTGCTTTCGATTGTATCTCATCGAACGCGCATTCTTCAGCGTCTACAGAGATTTGCATGTTGCACGCGAAAACTGAAGTCGTGAAGATAGATCTATCCTGTAGAAGCAACCCCTGAAAGAGACATCAGAATTACTAAGTAATCAGCAGGTCACCATGCTTGTTTTACCGTTGATACCATTTTTCCTAGGTTAGTTAAGCCATCCGTTACTCGGTTAATCCTCGGTACGGTCTCAATACAAAAAATAGCGTCATGCTCGGTTTTTTTCAGGCTATAAAATGCCGGATATATTCAACTCTGCGCCCACATATATATTCCGCATGCGGGTAGACACGTTATTCATGAACAAATCAGAAAAACTCGATAATAGGGAGGGCAACGTCGGCCTGGAGTTCTATCTGAAGTGTCAGTCGCATAAATTGGAAAAACTAAAATGTCACATCCCGAAGAACATTACTAATTTACCGAGCCTGGACTCCATTCCCCAGGTGGAAAAAAACCTTTTCACTCTGTCGTCCCTTCAGTTTAGAGGCATACGTTTCCGAATGGAATTCGATGTTAAGGGAGTAAAGAGTTATCGCATCCTTGTGAAAAACGTGAAAGACAAGGAGACTCTGTTGAAAGTATACCAGTTCATCGGGGATCAACTGAGCGTCGGTGCTGACCTCAGGAAAAGGGGCTCAGAATTCACCGCAATAGAGAAAACCATTATCGGCAAATGCCCGACACATTACAAAATCAATCGAATTAAGGCCGTCAATCGTAGAGAAATCGAGCTGGTCTCGTTCCTTGCGAGACATGGTTATGAGTTGAACAAGGACGAAGCATTATTTATTAATAAAACAAGACGTGTGAACGAATGCTATCCGAACAACAATTATATCCTCGGAAAGATCTTATGGACCGACCTTATAACATCGAATAACACCGAGAAGCTGGTACGTATCGACGAATTCACTTAGGCCCTCGTGCTCATTGGAAAGCAGTAATTTCGATTCGCACAACTCGACTACGTCAACAGCTGTTGACGTGTCGTTGGCCGTTGTATCGACTCCTTTGTTTCGCTTTTTCAACATGTTTAATCGTAGTCAAGTTACTGTTTAAGGATACGTGGTAGATCGGTCAATAAATAGAGTTAAGATCAAATTTAACTTCTCGACATGCACCTAGTCCTGGGTATATATTCTTATTGTTTTGGCCTTCAAATACAAATATATTCAAACTTTCAGCATAGAATATATGTATTTTATATCGTAATAATTATGTTGAAATAGTCTATGTTGAAAATTTAAACACTGAAAGCCGGTTTTTCAGTGATAGTTTAAACTTGGATTCAAGTTTAGTTTCTAACAATGCGTTTGTTTTATTTAAACAGAGTTTAAGTTGAAATTTAAGTTTAAACTATTATTGAAAAATTGCCCCTTAAATACCGAAAATAATGAGAATGTTCAGGATTAGTTACGTGACATTGATACTCCTTGTGCCTGAATTAATCTCGATAACGATTATCGGGCGACTCGTCGCGACATTCAGCGCGTTCGACATTGTTGTACAGAAGAACGTTAATCAATATAAATACATTAATTTGTTTGCATTAATTTGGTATAATTAATGCATTTTATCAAAGTAGTTCGTGTGAAATGGGACACATTATGAGATTATAAATATAATCTCAAATATGTATACATTTTTGTTTGTTGCAGCAAGAATCGCAGACTCTAATGTTGTTTACTCAGGGCGAGTACTACAGCAAGACTGTAAATACGTTTCAACTCTATAATGAGCAAGATGAGATTGCCGGCTATGTTCGAGAAACAATTAATTTTAAATTCGAATTTATACAGGGCTGAAGAACATACCAGGAGTATCACGTTGATTTGTTAAATCAAACGCTAAGGAATACGCTCAGTGACCCCAATTTAGCAACGAGCAAAATTACACGGAGGACATATTTTAAATTCGTTTTTAAAACATTGTTGACATGCGGTATTAAACTGCAAAAGATGTTATAATTATTATAACTAAACACGATATATATATATATCTTACTCTTTTATGTCCTTCAGTGCTTTATTGCTGGTATAGATAATGATATACAGCATTTGTTATGTTTCTATCTTCTCTTTAATAAAATTTATAATGTTGCCGCACGATAACTTCTCCGACTCGCTGAATTCTTCTTTTTATGAGAAGAGAATCACCAAATAATAAATTCCTTATTCTTATTTCCTCGTCACTTACTAAGTAAGACATTACTGTTGCGACCTTACGATACAGATACAATTAGCGATTTATTATTAAATATCAGGACTCTTCTTCGTCGATATTGTGTGTTAGTTTCTTATGTGTATTGTTATATCTGTCATACATTATCGTAGCTTTTGTATGTGTGTTTCTTTTGTGTCTGGTTCTTATGGTAAAGCAGCTTATAAACTATGATGGATATCTCTTTTCGACAGATTACGGATCGTCTTCAAATAAAATAGTACATGTGAATGGCAACTTTTGCGATCAGACAAACAAGGTAATGAATTTATGATAAGAAATCCGCCTGAATTTTGCTTCTGAAATCTCACTCGTTCTCAAATCTATTCAAACGCACTCTTCAGTATCTGAATGGACATCTCGGCTATTATGGAGAAATTAAATACGTAAAATTATATTGTGACATTAATTACTATATAATAAATTAATATTAATTGTCATAATATTAATCATGGCCAACGAAAAATTTCATGACAACGTCTCCGCCTGTTTTTTCTTTGAAGGCGTGTTAATGCGTGTGACATGTGACGGAAGCAAATATTTCGAGTTATTGCGAACCGACGTATAATCGCATTTGTTTGTTGCACATATCGTCGTACAATGTTATGACGTTATCCAAATAAAATTTCCAGTTTAAAACGCAGAACACTTTTAAGTTGTACGACCAGAATATGACTCGAATTGTTAATGCTGTGGAGATAAATGCAGTTTTATAAAAATCAGTACTGCTCCCGCAAGACTTTTTATCAAGGATCTTTTTCAAATCCATCGTGGCGGGTGCAATTGCAGAAAGCTCAATATGTAATAAATGATATTGGTTCTGTAAACAGAACTTCTTGTTACAAAATTGTTCATTCCTTTTCTCGTTCTGTACAATGTTGAGTTCGAACTATATGCAAGAGTATTCTATAATCCATTTTATACATATTAGTTTCTTTTTACCATTGACAAAACTGTGTGACGAAATAAATGATTTTTCACATACACGTTTATTTATTTCCTATTGTACCCTGTAGATACTACCGAAAGTGCAACTTCGGATTGTGTAGTGAGTAATCTTGAATTTTTCAGGTAATTGAAACGAGATTATGTCGTAATAATTTTACAAAATTGTATGTGCGTCGTTTGAGAATGCATCTTCTTCAGTTCTTTCATGAAAGTCCTATCATGGAAGATTATGGCAACGCGAAAACATAATTTTACGTACTTATGTCTGAACAATTGGAAACTGCACGTAAGTTAAGTATTTTCTGTAAATACGTCACACCTTATCTTTCACACGCTGCGAGATTTCGAAAATTTCGAATGTTTAACAGTTTTGTAACAGATTTTTAACAGACTGTCTTCTGGTTTTTATTGTGTTGATAAATATTTAGATGTGTGTTAATTTCTATTGTGTGTTAGTTATTGTACAGCTGAAAGACGATTCGAAAGACGCTTTGTCCGGAGACAAATGATCATCGCTCTTCAGCTGCGCGGTTCGCAATATAAATATTCGCGACACCAAACTTCGCAAGTTCTTTCTGCGGCGTACATTCCTGCCACACGGAACGCGAGGGCTATATATAAAGTGAGAAAGTTCCTTTATTCAATAAACCAAGAATCGATTCGCTCTTTTGCGCTCTTTTGCGTCGATCGCCGTTCGAATTTCTTTCCTAAAATTCTGCTCTCGATTGCATCTCGTCGAACGCGCATTCTTCAGCGTTTACAGAGATTTGCATGTTGCATGTAACCTTACGCGAAAACTGAAGTCGCGAAGATAGATCGATTCTGTGGAAGCAACCCCTGAAAGAGACATCAGAATTACTAAGTAACCATCGGATCGCCATGCTAGTTTTACCGTTAATACCATTTTTTCTAGGTTAGTTAAGCATTCCGTTACTCGGTTAATCCTCGGTACGCTCTCAATATAAAGAATAGCGTCATGCTCGGTTTTTTTCAGGCTATAAAATGCCGGATATATTCAATCCTACGCCCTCATACATATTCCGCATGCGGGTAGACACGTTATTCATCAACAAATCAGAAACACGCGTTAATAGGGAGGGCAACGCCGGCCTGGAGTTCTATCTGAAGTGTGAGTCGTATAATTTGGATAATCTAAAATGTCACATCCAGAAGACCATTTCTTATCTACCGAGCCCTGACTCCATTCACCAGGTGGAAAATAACTTTTTCACGCTATCATCCCTTCAATTTACCGGGATACGTTTCCGAATGGAATTCGATGTTAAAGGAGTAAAGAGTTATCATTTTCTTGCGGAAAACGTGGAAAACAAGGAGACTCTGTTGACAATATATCAGACCATTGGGGATCAACTGAGCGTCGGTACTGACCTCAGGACAAAGGATTTTGAATTCACCGCAATAGAGAACTCCGTTATCGGCAAATGCCCGGCAGATTACGATATCACTACAGTTAAGTCCATGAATAATAACGAAATTGAGCTGGTCTCCTTTCTTGCGAGCGAGGGTTATGAGTTGAACGAGCACGAAACGTTCTTTATTAAAAAAGTAAGACGTGTGAACGAATGCTACCCGAAGAACAATTATATCCTCGGAAAGATCTTATGGGACGACCTCATAACATCGAATGACATCGTGAGGCTGGTACGTATCGACGAATTCACTTAGGCCCTCGTGGTCATTGGAAAGCAGCAATTTCGATTCGCACAACGCAACTACGTCAACAGCTGTCGACGTGTCGTTGGCCATTACGTCGATCTTTGTTTCGCTTGTTCAACAGTTTAATCGTAGTCAAGTAACTGTTTAAGGATACGCGGTAGATCGATCAGTAGAGAGAGTTAAGGTCAAAGTCAACTTCCCGACATGCACTAGTCCTGGGCACACATTCTTATTGTTTTGGTCTTCAAATACAAATATATACAAACATTCACAGAATATATGTATTTTATATCGTAATATATTATGTTGGAATATTCTATGTTGAAAGTTTAAACATTGAGGGCCGGTTTTTCAATGATAGTTTAAACTTGGATTCAACTTCTAACAATGCGTTTGTTTTATTTAAACAGAATATAACTTGAAATCTAAGTTTAAACTATCATTGAGAAACTGCCCCTTAGATACCGAAAATAATGAGAACGTTCAGGATTAGTTACGTGCCATTGATACTTTTACTTTGTGCGTGAATTAATCTCGATAACGATTGCCGGGCGATTCGTCGCAACATTCAGCGCGTTAGACATTATTATAAAGAAGAACGTTAATCAATAAAAATATATCCATTTGTTTGCATTAATTAGGTATAATTAATGCATTTTGTCAAAGTAGTTTGTGTGAAATGGGAGATTATGAGATTATAAATATAATCTCGAATGTGTGTACATTTTTGTTTGTTGCAGTCAAATTCGCGTACTGAAATGTTGTTTGGTCTGGGCGAATTCACCAGCGTGACTTTGAATACGTTTATGCTCCATAATGCAACAAATGGGAATGCTGGTGTTGTTCTAGAAACAATTAGATTAACATTGGATTCAATAAACTGAAGAACATCCCAGGAATATCATGTTGATTTGTTAAATCAAACGCTGAGGGTTACGCTCAGTGACCTCAATTTGGCAACGAGCAAAATTACATGGAGGACATATTTTTAATTCGTTTTTAAAATATTGTTGACATGCGGCATTAAACTACATAAAATGTTATAATTATTATAACTACGTAAACATGATATATATCTTACTCTTTTAAATCAAACGCTGAGGGTTACGCTCAGTGACCTCAATTTGGCAACGAGCAAAATTACATGGAGGACATATTTTTAATTCGTTTTTAAAATATTGTTGACATGCGGCATTAAACTACATAAAATGTTATAATTATTATAACTACGTAAACATGATATATATCTTACTCTTTTATGTCCTTGGTAACTTATTACTGGCATAGGTAACGATATACAGCGTTTATGTTTCTATCTATTCTTTAATAAAATTTATAATGTTACCGCTTGATAACTTCTCCGACTTGCTTAATTCTTCTTTTTATGAGAAGAGAATCACCAAATAATAAATTCCTTATTCTTATTACGTTGTCACTTACTAAGTAGTGTATACGTATGTGTGTGTCAAAGACGTAAAAATTAAAAATATACGAATTAAAATATTATAGACGAATTAAAAATATTTCGTGAGACCATTACTGTCGCGATATTACGATACAGGTACAGTTAAGCGATTTATTATTAAATATTAAGACTCTTCTTCGTCGATATTGTGTATTAGTTTCTTATGTATATTATTATATCTGCAATACATTATCGTAGCTTCTGTATGTGTGTTTCTTTTGTCTGGTTCTTACGGTAAAGCAGCTTATAAACTATGATGTATATCTCTGTTCGAGAGAGTAAGGATCGTTTTCAAATAGGATCGAACATGTGGATGGCAACGTTTGCGATCAGGCAAACAAGGTAAAGAATTTATGATAAGAAACCCGCCTGAATCTTGCTTCGGAAATCTCACTCATTCTCTCATCTATTCAAACGCATTCTTCAGCACCTGAATGAACATCTCGGCTATTATGGAGTAATTATATACGTACAATTATATTGTGACATTAATTACTATATAATAAATTAATATTAATTGTCATAATATTAATCATGGCCAACGAAAAATTTCATGACAACGTCTCCGTCTGTTTATTTTTTTTTTTTTGAAAGCGTATTAACGCGACGTGTGACGGAAGCTAATATTTCAAGTTATTGCGAATCGACGTACAATCGCATTTGTTTGTTGCAAATATTGTCGTACAGTGTGACGTTATCCAAGTACAATTTCCAGCTCTAAATGCAGAACACTTTTAAGGTGTACGGCCAAAATATGACTCGAATTGTTAATGCTATGTGTTATTGCAGTTTTTTTTAAATCAGTACTGCCCCCGCAAGACTTTTCATCCAGGATCTTTTTCAAATCCATCTCGGCGGATGCGATCGCAGAAGGCTCAATAAGTAATGTGATATTTGTTCTGAAAACAGAACTTCTTATTACAAAATTGTTAATTTCTTTTCTCCTTCCGAACAATGTAGAATGCGAACTATAGGCAAAAGTTCCTTTTTACAAATGTCGGTATCTTTTTACTATTGAAAAAAATGTCTGACAAAATAAATGATTTTTCACATATACGCTTATTTATTTCTATACCTGTACAGACTACCGCAAGTAAAACTTCGGATTGTGTAGTCAGTATTCTTGAATTTTTTAGATAAAACGAGATTATGTAATAATAATTTTACGATTACGTCATAATAATTTTACAAAATTGTATGTGTGTTTGGGAACGCATCTCTGAACGTTTGGGAATGCATCTTCTTCAATTCTTTGCGTATGTCTCGTCATGAAAGATTATGACAGCACGAAAACATAATTTCACGTATTTTTGTTTGAACAATTTGAAACTGCGCGGTTCAATGTTTTCTGTTAATACGTCATCTATTTCCTATATATTTCACACACTGCAGTGAGATTTCGCAAATTTCGAATGTTTAACCGTTTGATTATCGTCTGGCTTTTACTGTATTGATAAATATTTATTTTGTGTGTTAGTTCCTATTGTTTACCTAGAATATGGTTCGAAAGGCGCTTTTGTCAGGAGACAAAGAATCATCGCTCTTCAGCTGCGCAGTTCGCAATATAAATATTCGCGACACCAAGCGTTCACAAGTTCTTCCTGTGTCGCACACGTTCCTGTCACATGACACGCGAGGGCTATATACAAGGTGAGAAAGCTCCTTTTTTTCAATAAACCAAGAATCGATTCGCTCTTTTGCGTCAACTGCCGTTCGAATTTCTTTTCTAAAATTCTGCTCTCGTTTGCATCTCGTCGAACGCGCATTCTTTAGCGTCTACAGAGAATTGCACGTTGCACGTGACCTTGAAATCTTGAAAATAGATCTATCCCGCAACCTCTGACAAAGACATCAGGATTATTCAGTAATCAACGGATCACCATGGTAATTTTACCCCTGATACCATTTTTCCTAGGTCAGTTGAGCGTTATGCGGTTAACCCTCGGTACGGTCTCATTGCAACGAGTAATATCTGCTCGACTTTTTCCAGGTTATGTCAGGCGGGATCAAAGCAACACTATACCCTCGTACTTATTCCAAGTGCGAGTAGACACGTTATTCACCAACAAATCAGGAACATACGATGATAAAGGCAACGCCGGCCTGGCGTTCAATCTGAAATGTCTGCCGCATAAAGTAAAAAATTTAAAATGTCACATCCCGAAGACCATTTTTTATTCACCGAGCACTGACCCCGTGCACATGGTGGACAATAATGTTTTCACGCCATCATCCCTTCAATTCAGCCGGATACGTTTCCGAATGAGCTTCGATTCTATCGGAGCAGCGAGTTATCAGATCTTGTCGGATGAAAAAGTGAAAGACGAGGAGACTCTATTAGATGTATATCGGTTCATCGGGGATCATCTGAGCGTTGGTGTTAACCTCGGGACAAAGAGTTTCGAATTCAAGACGACGGAGTTATCCAGTATCGGCAAATGCCCGACACTTTACAAAATCAGTCGAGATAAGGCCTTCAATGCAAACAATTTCCAGCTAACCTCCTTCATTCCGAACGAGAAATACAAATTGGTCAAGGGCGAATCGTTTCTTATTAATAAACAAAGACAAGTGCACGAGTGCCGCCCGCAGTACGGTTTTATCCTCGGAAGGAGGTTATGGACCGACTTCATACCGACATCGAATGTCATCGCGGAGCTGGTACGTATCGACGATTTCACTTAGTCATTGGAACGGAGGAATTTTGATTCGCACGACTCGACTACGTCAAGAGTTGTTGACATATCGTTTGCCATAGCATCGTCTCCTTTATTTCGTTTGTTGAACTGTTTAATCGTAGTCAAGTAACTGTCTAAGAATATGCGTTGGAGCGATTAATAGAAAGAGTTGAGGGAATGCTGGAGTCGATCACTAATTCAAACAATATAGATAATGCAGAAACGAACGTCACTAACATAATTATTCTATCCTTTTCATATTTCTTATATATACAAAATTTGAACGTATGTTTACATGAACGTGTATGTTTTGTTTGAATATTTAATGGAAAACCTGATCATATATGTATAGGAATCTTTCTGCAAACTTTTTCGATATTCTTAAGCTTCCAAATGCTGATGCGAAGATAAAGCAATGTTCTTCAAAAAGTTTTTTTGTTTGGAACATTCACACTTTCGTTATATACAAGCTGCGGAACTTTTAGATTAGGAAAATATTACGCTAACTGACAATTTGATATTTTATATTAAAAATATTTTTTCGTTTTCGTCACATATCGAGCAATGCTCTTTATTTTTGCACGTACTTTCATTGCGTACAAGCATTTGTAATTCTGTGTAACCAATACTTTACGTAAAATATTACAGGAAACGTAAACTTTACAGAAAAATATTCGTGTTCTATCGGTAAAGTTTTCAGCTTTAGTATTATAGTCAACTGTTCGATATTCATCTAGTCCTGGACACACATTCTTATTGTGTAGAATATATGTATTTTATGTTGTAATGCAATATGTTAGAACATTCTACATTGCAAATTTAGAGACTGAAGGCCGGTTTTTCAATGATAGTTTAAACTTGGATTCAAGTTTAACTTCTAACAATGCGTTTGTTTTATTTAAACAGAGTTTGAGTCGAAATCTCAAGTTTAAACTATCATTGAAAAAATCAGCCCTTAAAGACCGAAAATAGTGAGAACGTTCAGAATTAGTCACGTGGCATTGATAACTCTCCTTTGTGCGTGAATTAATCTCGATAACGATCGCCGGGCGAGTCGTCGCGACATTCAACGCGTTAGACATAGTTATGAAGAAGAACGTTAATCAATATAAATACATCAATTTGGATTAATTTGGTATAATTAATGTATTTAATCAAAGTAGCTCGTGTGAAATGGGACACATTATGAAATTATAAAAATAATCTCAAATATGTATACATTTTTGTTTGTTGCAGGAAGAATCGCAGACTCTAATAACGTTTAGTCTGCACGATTTCTACACCAAGTCTATAAATAAATTTGAACTCTTGAATGGTCAAGGTCATATGATCGGCTATGTCCAGGAAACGATTAATGTTGGATTGGTATCGATAGAGGACTGAAGAACGCGCCACGAGTGTCACATCGATTCGTTAAATTAAACGCTGAGGAATACGCTCAATGACTTCAATTTAGCAACGAGCAAAATTACACGGAGGACATATTTTTAATTTGTTTTTAAAATATTGATATGCGGCATTAACTGCAAAAAGTGTTATAATTATTATAACTACGCAAACACGTATATGTATATATATATATATCTTACTCTTTTATGTCCTTCGGTGACTTATTGCTGGTATAACGATATATAGCCTTTGTTATGTTTCTATCTTTTCTTTAATAAAATTTATAATGTTGCTCGATAACTTCTCCGACTTGCTTAATTCTTCTCTTTATGAGAAGAGAATCACCAAATAATAAATATCTTATTTTTATTATCTCGTCACTTACTTGTGTATACATATGTGTATCATAGGCGTAATTAAAAATATTTCATGAGTCCATTACTGTCGTAATCATACGATACAAATACAAGTATGCGATTTATTAGGACTCTTCTTCGTCGATATTGTGGATTAGTTTCTTATGTGTATTGTTATATCTGTCATATATTACTGTAGATCACATTACCGTACGTGTGTTTTACTAAAAAAATATGATTTTAATAGAAGTCGAATCTAAATTTTAGAGGATTTTACTCTTATATATGGCCTCAAGAGGATGGTTTTAAAATCAAGAGAAAGATCTTAAACACAATTCTTAAAGATAGAGGAATTTCAAATTGAATGTACAGTACAAATCTATTTGTTCTTAATCTAAATTTTTTCTTATATATTATTCCAACCCAAAAATATTTCTTCGGATTTAATATATTTTATCGCATCCACACGAAATAAAAATCAGAAAGCTTTGACCGCGGTGCTTATGTGTCTTTGTAGATGTCCACTTTTAATGCCATATGAGATGAAAAACATCAGACTCGGCTGGGATCGAAACCTAGGTCTTCTGCTTGTGAGAATCTGTTGTGTATTATATTGTATAACTGATGCAGCTATTCTAATATTATATGAGCCACGTGTACCAAAATTAATTCTTTTTCCACCAATTTCCTTGCAGATAATAGAATTAAACGATTATATATTATAGACGATAGATATATTATAGACATATCATCACTTAGAGATATACCATAAATATGTATAAAAAAATCGATTTTTTTTTATCGTTTTCATCTCATATTATGGATGCTCCGCACGTATTTTCACCATGCAAAAGGGTTTTTAATTCGACGCAGGTAAAAAGAAGTAAACTTTGCAGAAAGATTCGATTTCATGATAGTAACTGTGTATTATCGTTTTCATCTTATATTGATGGATGCTTCGCTTCATTTTCGCAGGTACTTTCACCATGCACAAAGGTTTTTAGTGTGACGCAGGTAGAAAGAAGTAAACTTTGCAGAAAGATTCGATGTCGTGATAGTAACTATGCATGATATATATATATATATATATATATATATATATATATATATATATATATATATATATATATATATATATATA